CACGCAGCATGTCGAGGACTATGGGAAGTCCAAATTAATATAGAAAAAATTCCATTATATTTTAAATTATTTAGTAATTTAGATGCTTTCTAGTATTTACTCCTTTTCTCAAGTGTTATGCTCACCCTTGGGGGTTTCCTCTGGGTCCCAAGGTCCACAGTGCCAAAGAAATTTGGAGAGGGAGGTATTACATCAACTTGTTAGCAATGTGAGGACTTTGCTGGGAGAAGCATGGTAGGGTTTTATTTTTCTTCAGTCTTGAATCTTCCCAGGGATATTATCTCATGTTTTCTTAAGACATTCTGCTAAGTCATACTTTTTCCCCCACTGGATCCCAACTACAGCTTGACGATCCTCACCCCTTCGCTGTTAAAGACACACAACAGCCTCCCACAGCCCGGGTTATCTGGAAAGGTCTTCTGCTTGTTATGCAGGGACCGTGCAGATTTTCTAGACCTTTACCACGTTTGGTATGCGCAGAGATAAGCTTAAACAAGGTAGGTAATAGTCTTCTGACAGACAGACAATTGCTATCGCAGCTGGAAACAAGCTAAAATGAACTCTGGCCAAGGCGAGTCCAGGCGAGTCCCGAGGCCAGCGCTGGTGAGTTCATACACAGCATGTGGCCTTTAGTAAAATCGGAAACAATCGCATTTGCTGAGCTGCAGCAGCAGCAGCTAGTACCCAAATTCTGAGCTGCTTCCATTTTGTCAAATCTCTCTGCGGCATTTAAGGTTAGACAACCAGGCTTTTTGGTGCTGTAAGAGCACTGGCAGATGGAGAGACAGATGTAAAAGTGGTCGAAGGCAGAATCAAATCAGGAGTTAAATGAAGGGAGAAGCACATTAAAGGGATTTCTGACACTTACAAAGCATGAGAAAGACTCAGGTGTTTATCCAGTTTAGTCCCCGAGTCCTGTGGGTACATATTTATAGCTGTTAGACTTCAAAAATAAATGCATACATCTGGGAGTTCACTACAAACTTACTGCATATACTTTTTTTGGGGAAAAAAGAAAAAAAGTTTCTTTTTCTCTGAACTAGAGGACTGCAGCACTTGCTCATGACCCAGTTATATTTTCCCAAATTAGAACCCCAAAGAAACTAAAACTACACAGTGAACATCAGATGTGAACATAGAGAAGGCAGGTGGGGAACATGGCCAGTTATCTTCAACTCAGGAATTAGTTTACTGTGGATCGTGGAATTTTTGAAAATAAATACATCAGAGTACTTGGAAGGAGACACCAAGATCTGCTGAAGTTACTTCAGGTTACTCTGTGATTAAAGTAATCATAGTGGATATTACTCCTGTTCAGTTTTCCTCTGTTCTAAGAATACTTTATTTTTTGTCTTAGAACTGGTTAAACTGCCAATCTTTCTGCTACTAAATATATATGCACAGTTCCTAAAGTATACCTTACAGTAGCTGCAGGTTCATATTCTAATACATTACCAATGTTAGGCAATGTCTTACTGCACCATCGAATTCAAGGGATGAATCTGAGACAAACAGAAATCAATCTAAAAACTCCTCTTTACTAGGAGGATTTCACTGGCATATTTACAGAAAAAAAGATCAAAATATCCCAAAAATGTGCATTAAAATCTCTTTTCCAAATAATTCTGCCTCCCAGCTTGGTTACGATAACCAACAATTTACGTATTAAGGCACACAGGGTTTACAAGGGATGGAAGATGCTGTAACCTACAGAGGGAAGGTGAGAAACAATAGGGAATTTATGCGGATCTCAGCAGGAACAGCTTTAACCAAATTTAGCATCCTTGTTGGGCCAGAGCTGATTACACCGATTGGTGTGGTTGTTACTACAGGAAACTTTCTCCTGTAGTTCTCCCTATTCAGTACATCACCAATTTCATCCCCATTTCCAAAAAGAAATTAGGACATTGACTTCATGGGCACAGCCTGTATTAAAGATGATAGGAGTCACACATTATAAAACAGCATAATTAAGGCCCTGGACAGTGATGTATAATTTCAGAGAAAAACAAATCTCTGCAGTGCAAGTTCAAAAAGACCTTGGAAATATATTTCTAAGTCAGCTGTGTTGGACTGTTTCCTTGAGTGCTAAATGCATATTCTTTTTCCTTCAAATTTTGTGAATGAATTTGTTTTTCTCCAAAATTCTTCAAGGACATGTACTGGCTAATAAATGTTTCACATGAGCTAGTTTAGCTGGAAACTAAAATTTCTTCTACTGGCAGATAAAGACCTCTATTCATGAAAGACTAAGATATAGAACACTTTAGTTAGTATTTTCACCATGAATTTACAATGCAAAATAGTGAAGCGATTTTTATGTGAATGACATTTTAAGACTAGATTTTAATAATAAAAATATTTACTGTATGTGATTTTCTGTGAGGATAAACTAAAACCAAAATCTAACATGACTCAGACACCCCTAAGAAGCCCTTTAAAGAGGTATAACTGAAGAGATGTGACACAAGTCAATCAGAGATTGACAATACTTCTTGACAGCCCAAATTTTCATAAAATTATTTTTCAAGGCCTTTCCAGTTATTATTAAAAGCCTGTTTCACACACTACATTATTAAATCGTCCCATTTTCACATGAAGAAGAGAGACAGCAATTATGCTAATACTTTACATAGAAACTTCTCAATATTAATTGTCAAGAAATGCGTAAATACAAGTAAAGAAAGTGTAAAAGGAATCTCAGGTCCCAGAAGATTATGAATTCCTCATAAATAAAGCTCTGTTTTCTGTGCTTTGTTCAGCCAAAGTCCCTGTGGAAATTCTGGGGTCGAGTTGCAGAGGGGTGTTTTTTATGATTCCCGTGTTGAATTTGTTATTATATCCATTTTTTTTTTGTTCAAACTATCATGGGGAGTTTAACTGTAACAAGAACTGTTGAGTTGACCAAAAACTTCTTACATCAAAGTCAGTGAAAAAGGAAAACAGGATTCTATGCCAAAAAAAAAAAAAAAAAAAAAAAATTTTTTACCCC